CTCCTTCCCCTCACTGTGGCCTAGTTTCAGAATAGGTAAATGAAATGTCTCATTACTTCTCATATGCCTTCACAACCCCTTTTTAGCTTCATATTTTATTTTGTGCAGCTTCATCTGGATGCAGTTGTCCATAGAAAATTTATACTATCAACTTCCTTAGCTTTGACTCATTGTCTTTATGGCTTTAGTACTTGATTGTGTCTCTCCCCGCAAATGTAAATTTAGTTTGATCCTTGACGAACAACAACTAAACTGAAAAGTGACTGAACAATAAGCAAAAAAGTGAAGAGTTTTCTGAGTGGAGAGGCTTTCAATGGTGAAGTGACAAAAACAGTTTGCCTCTCACCCAGTTACTGCCTTTGCTGCTTAACTGAAGTGAAAGTACAGATATCAGGAACTCAGCAGCTTAAAACCGAGTGATTATCCACCAAGCCCAATGTCTCCCTGAAGGCCTAGAGATTACACGTGTAATAATCAGGCTGCCCTTGCCAAAAGTAAGGCTTAGTGCTTCATTTTATTTATTGTATTTATTGAATGGTGCCATTCCTTGATAGCCCCCAGGAGCATTAACAAACATGAAAGAAACCACCAAAGGAAAGAAAGAAATATATAAATAACTAAAAACCATGCCACTAAAGTTTATAATCTGGAACATGCAGTATTGACACTCTTTCAAGTCATCTGTTCTACCTTCAAGTAATGTCAGCATTGCTTTCATTTGCCAAAAACCTAAATCTCTAAAGTCTCGTACAGGTCCCTTTGCAAAACATCCATCCTTCCACTTCTTCCTAATGTACCAAGCCAAGTGACAGTGTGATATTCCTAAATTTTGTGCCTGGTTCTATATTACTATCACCTGTATTTTAGCATTGCGATGATCATATATTTAAGACTCCTGTTAATAAACCTTTCGTAAAATAAGGTGCCTCTATAGCCTCTAATATGTGAATTTTTAGGGAATCGAGCAGTTATTAAAATCATATCATCCTTTCATTTAGGAATAGACAAGATGAGAACCTTCTGATGGGTGATTTTTTTTTCTCATGTCTTTAACTTTTCAATCTATGATGACTCACTTCACATTCCTTACAAATATTACTCTTTCAAATTTGCAAGTATAAAAAAATAAAGTTTAAAAATACCATTTGAAATAATTGTCATCAAAATGGATTTAAAGTTTGTTTTGTTTTCTTCCATGTTTTTTGTTTTGTTTCATTTTTAAGGAATTGAAACAATATTTTCTTTCTATGGAAGTTTTTTCCATAAAGTTTGGCTGGAAAAGAAATCATCCCTGTATCTACATCAAAAGTATGGTCAAGTATTACTGCATGATTTCTGTAGCTTGTTTACTATTCTTATTCTCGACTTTAAGAGCAAAATTATGAGCCTTTGGCTATAATTATCTGGTGCTTATAATAAGTCTTTATATCTGTTCCAGGCATTCTCTGTAAATTTTACATGTGAGATGATGGGGAAGAAGAAAGGAGTAGAGTGGATTATAAAACAAAATAAACTTAAAAGTCTGTAAGTGTAATAGAGTGGCTCAGAAATAGAAACCCACTAGCAGGTCTTGGATGTGCTTATATACAGAGCACTCTAATGAATTTATTGAGGGGTTGCTTTTTGAAGAGAAAGGAAGAAGACTTGAGAAACTCACCTCACATGACAAATAAATGAATGCAGTGTGGTTGGTGGCAATAACCTATAGATATTGTCCCTGGTATTAAGGAAAATCCTTCCTCCCCTCAGAGTTCATTCCTCATGCCTCAATTAACATGCAATGAGTATCTGGGTGGGTTCAAGCCTTCCTCAAGAGGAAGGAACACTGCAGACCTCAGCCAAGAGGACTCACAATCTAATAGAATCTATGTTCCACAAATACACTTTACACAAATCCATTATGTGCCAAGAGCCAGCTTGTTTTATAAATGCATTTTGTGAAATGCAATGAAATTAACTGAACATTTATATTTTCAACCTCAAAGTACATTATGAGAATTATAAATTTCCCAATTGACAAGAGTTGAAAATGAACATTGTCCTTATTTACTTTGGGTGAAAGCAGAGAGGGTAAGGGAAGGCTAATTTTCTTCTTTAACCAAGGCCAGATTTAGTTTTCTATAATTTCTGGCTCTCTATTCCATAGACAAGCTTCTTTTCTTTGTGTTTTCTTTTTTTTTCTTTCTGGATTCCTAATAAAATAAGTAAAACTAGAATTATGTTGAAAAAAAAAATACTCAAGGATATTTTAAGTCCCCAAGGTGAAGAAACCGCCTAAGGTAGTCAAGAGTACATAGACCAGATTTTTTACCGTGTGTGCTATTCTGAATTTTTAAAGAGGCAATTAGTTATTCTTATGTATTAGTGATTGCCCCATTTTCTCCATAACTCAGGTGATACAAAGGGCCTCAGAGAGGACATATTTTAAGTGGGACATTTAATACCCCAAAAAAGGGATGATTCTAATTTAAAGTCACTGAGGAAGTTCTTTCTATAGATGCAGTCAAATTACACAGCAGCAAAAACTTTGCCTAGCTGTTTTCAACTCTCACTGTCATTTCTAACTAAGCCATCTCTAACTTAAAGATAGAGTTAAATGACCTGATAAAACCACTTGTACCTGAGAAATGTTATTTATTTAAAGCAAGCACAGCCAGCACAATGTTAATTTGGTGGCCATACATACGGTGAGTGTAAGATGCAGAGCTGTGAAGAAAAAAAAAAAAAAAAGGACAAATTTATCATGTGTTCAGTGTGATGGGACTTTCAAGCTCCTAGTAGGTTATCTGTGTCACAGGCGCATGCAGGAAGAACTTCTGGCAGGCAGAGTTTTTATTACATGCGTCTGACAGCTGGATACATGTTTTACACCACAGAAAGAGAATCTGTTTTTTGAGATCTGCTTTCACAGTCTAATTTTGCTTAGCAAAACCACAACTGGAATGTTTTAAGGGCAATTTTGAATAAGCACTGTGAAAATCGAGGTACCCCAAGATCCCACCAAAACATGAAATGAAAATATCTGGGATACAAAGAAAAGATGTATTTCATGAGCACATATCTTTAAAATCTAAAATTGAATCAGAGAGTTTCTTTCTCAAAAGTATAGATTCTTTAACTTCCTCTCCAAGAGAGGCATACCTAAAAGGTTATTGATTGGGTTCTGAAGGACAGAGTATTTATTATGGAGGAAGCCATCGCAGGGTACAAGTGTGAGAAATTAATGATGGCTTTGTAAGTGTCCACACTGTGGTGTGGAACCAGTGGGGCAACTGTCAATCTATATGATAATACATTCCCAAACTTCATAAAGTCAGTGATGTGAAAATGCATTGATTTCTTTGTGAGCCAAACCGAATTTGTCAAAGAGAAAGAGCAAGACGTTTACCGAAGTTAACACCTCAGCCTGCAGAGAGTGGCTTGTGCTTCAGTTTTTATTTGCTTAAAGAGTTTATGATGTGACGTGTCACATTCCTTATTTTTATTCTTGGCCCCAAATGAGAAGAGAACATGCATTATGTACATCTTCTGACTATGTGGAATACTCAAACATTTGAAAAAGAGAAAAGGAAACACATTTTTATCTGTACATTTAAAAATAACCAGCCAGCACCGAAGCTTGAACTCTGGCTTCCTCACCTCCTTCGTGCTCTGCCAGATGCAGGCATAAAAGAGTCGCTCAGTACTTCCAAGTACAGATTTCTTGATGCGAGTCTGACTGCCTTATAACTAGCATTACGGAAAAAATCGAGACACTAGATTTAAGGGGTTATTTCCTATCCATATATAGGGATTTACATAGACTCCTCAGAGGGGAAAATTGTTCAAGTGTGATGTTTTAAATAATATTGGAAAAAAGAGAGACTACTTTTGGTCTACCAAATACATCATTCATTACGAAATTCTCCTATCCATAACAGTTCTAGGTGAATTCAAGGCAAGCTTTTTTTTTTTTGCTCCCTTTGCTTCACTGGAAAACTCCTTATCGTTAAGTTTTTCAGATGTGTATAGGTCTAAAAAGAGAGGGTGGGGATTCTATAAATTTTGTATAGATGGTTCCCATGAGACCACTGAGAATGCCACCATGGAAGATTTGCCAAAATACCTTGTTTAAAATGTGCCATAAATTCTTGGATTGCAAGTGATTTTATTTATTAGGCAATCATACTGCCTCCACTTAAATAGTATCTGACACACTCGGAGTTGAAAAAGTATATCAGTAAATGGATTCAATGTATGCCTTTATGAAAACTTCTAAAAGTAATTTCCTATCAAATAAGTACCTTAGAGTGTTGAATGTGCCAAGTGTCAGAATTCTGTTAAAATTCAAAAAGAGTCAAGTACAGATTTTTCCTTGAGAGTACACCTTGATTAGCTACATGAACGGAGACATAAGTAAGACACATCTCCATGTCCCCACAGTAGAATAAATTATTTCAGAATTAAACACAAATTTAAATTCCACAAAGTGACATCTTTTTGAATATATGCGACTTACCCAGGAAATGATGTATTTTCAAGACAGTTTTGAGATTAAATGATATTTAGCTATGCTTTCGCATTCACAAGCTGTCCGCCTGCAAATTTCTTTTTCTTTTTTTAAATGCAAGAAAATACTTAAAGCTGCTCTAGTAGAAGTTTATAATATTTTATATAAACATTCTTAACTGATCTGTTTGTAAACATTTTAATGGCAATTCTTTCAGCAAACACACAATATATTCATAACAAACCACACAGCATTTGATGTTTTCTTCATAAATCAGCTGTACCTAATGCAATTTATCTTTTAAAAGATGTTTTTGACTAAACACAGTTCTGAGTCGCGAAGAAATCCACAAATAAGCACCTTATCTCTTTAATGACTTGCTTAGGCTTCCCTATATTTACTGCTTAATGATCGGAAGCATTTAATTTTCAAAGTTTCATTAAAACCCATCTACAAAGCTGATGGATAAGCAATAGTGATTTGTGATAGAAGATGTGGGAAGCCATTAACCTACATAGGTACCAAGGAGAAAAGTAAACAGAGAAGAGAATACTTTTTTTGAAGACAAGTCTCTTCCTATTTGTCATTATTAAACTCCAGAGCATCTGTTCCTGGTTTGATCTTCAATACGGATATGAGGCATTGCCGCCTGGAAATGAAAGTCTAAGATAAGGTAGGATTCTTAAGAGATCTTCATGGAAAAAAAAAAAAAATACCCCAGGTTGCCATTTACTGGGAAGGGGAAATCAATACAAAGACCTAGAAACTTGTGGCGAGAGGACATTTTCTAGGTATAGGTCATAGTTTATCAAGTTGCCTCTTTTGCAATGTAATTTACTTGCTAATAAGACCAACTGACTATACCTGAATACCATGTTATCGTCAAAATGTGATTTTAAAATTCTCTCATTTCTTGTGTGCTTGAGGTTTGCTGGTTTATTCTTCCCGAGCTCGGAGTGGGTAGACAAGGTCGATTTAAAAGAAAATGAATGGTTTTATACTCCTCTTTATTAAAAAACAGGCATCCCAAACGCCACACTGTGCCGTACCCAGAACATGAAAAGGTATTTAAGAAGCAGGCCTACCGTTCTCATCATCTGACTTATTTTCGTTGTCAGAATCGGTCAAAGTAAGGGCTGAGTTCTCACGACTGGACAGGCCGGAACTGCGTCTGGATTTTATCCCTCTCCCCCACAGTCTGATGGCGTGTTCTGGAGACATCCCTCCCTCTGTGTCGGAGTCGGCGTCAGACCCTGTGCTCAGAGAGTAGCCCTGGTGAAGGATCCCCATGTCAGAACAGTAGCCACTTCGGTGCGGGGAGGGCTCACAGATTCCCAGTTCCGCAAGGGTGAAGTTAGTTCCTAAGGTGACAGCAACAGAGAGACTGATTACAAATTGTGAAATGCCTTACAAAGTGGAAATTTATTCTTACAAAGAGCAGACAGGTGTTTTTCCCATCCAAAAAAATCAACCAGATTTCCATGGTATACAGGAATATATGAGCAAGAGTATTGAGGATACTGGGGTAAATTTGAGAGCAAAAAAGTAAACATCTAAGATTAATTTTAACCCTAGGCCACAATGCTCAGATTTTGTTTCAAAAATGTTACAGCATTTACTGTTGTCTAGGTAACACATGTAGCTGAAAAAACATGGAATTTATAGTAATAGCTAACATATACCAAGCACTTACTTTGCTCTGGGCATCTTTTGTTTGGCAACTTCTATTTTATGTTTTTAAGTTTTACAACAGCTTTATGAAGAAGATAATATTATTGTAATCATTTTGTAAGGAAACTGAGGAACAGAGGAACAGAGAATTTAAGTGACTTACCCAAGGTCATACATCTAGATTGTAGCAAAACATGGATCTGATCCTTGAGCAGTCTGTCTTCATGTCAAAGAACCTTAATCCTCCAATAAATGTGAGTGGTGGCCAGGAGACCTGGGTATTGGTCCCAGCTTCCCACTGGTAAGTCTCATTGTGGCAAGTCTCTTACTCCTTGAGCCCCAGTTTTCTCATCTGTAAAATCTGGGTATTAATCTCTTAAATTCCTCTCAGGATCACTGTGTATCTTCCATGTGATAATATACACCAAATTTTTTTTTTAAATAAACTATGTAATGTATTATTTAATTCAGCATCCTAGGGATGAAGAGTCAGTCCTTATGTTTTTAAATGATATCAAACAATGTCTCCAACTTAAAACCACAAGTAGGTTTCACCCATGGAGAGTGAATGTGTGTGCAAATGGGAAGCCGAAAATAGGCATTTATTGACCATTTATATGTTACCATGTGTTTGGCATGTGCAGACTGTGTACAGGCTTTAAATCTCATTTAAATATCATAATAGCCCAGCAGTTTAGACGTTGACCATTACCAAGGTCACTCCTAGGCAAGTGGCAGATCCAGGATACACCTCTCATCTGCAGATTCGAAGCATCTGCTCATTCTACAGTGTGAAATAGTCTCAAACAAAAACCAGCCTGGCAACATTTTGGCACAGTGAATGCTCTATCTATCTGTGTTCTTTACTCTTACAGGTTCCTACAAGAAATTGTAAACTTTTGGTGCAAATTAGATGAAATCATGTGGTACATTCTATATACTGACATATAAAGCTGATTTATTTTTTGTCTTTAACCAAGTTATAGACAATGGGGGAAATGCAGTGAAGAAATGCACTTTCGTGCTATTAGTGAGGAAAACCTTATAAATAACACCAAACCCCTGGTTTACTTTGTATATATTGATTATATTAGGGTCATTCCCTATCAATCATATCTCCAAACTTACGATGTAACATAACTACTCTATGATACTCCACATACATGGCATCATTTCTCAGCTTTTATTTTAAAAAGGGTTAAGCAACTGTTTGTATTAACGTCATGTGACTTTAATTTGTAATAGACATGTATTTTTACTCTGAGGTTTTACTTCCCAACTTTGCTACACATTGAAGTTCCACAGCCTTCTTTAGTTAGCTGTGTAAATGGGATCAAACCCAATTTTACACATAATTGCCTCTGCAGAGTGAAACCTATTCATCGGAGAGCTAACCTAAGCAAAACTTCCTGTGGGGATGGGGTGATTTCCTGCTCACTGCGCAGAGAAGAGGGAAGTCCTCATGCCACCAGCACAGTCCTAAGTGCTATTATTTATTCCCTGTGCACATTTTATCATGTTGTCTGAGATCCCTTGCCCAGGCACTCTGTTCCAGTTTGCATCTTTGGTAATTAGGTACTATCTCATCATTGTACACTAAAGTGTATATTTTAGTAGTCTATAAAATGAAAGTTAAGTTCATATATGTCTGATGTTACAATACTTTTCTATTTTTGTTTTCTCAGTCTTCAGTAAATGAATATGAGCATTCTCCCATCTTGTTTTTAGAGCTCATGTTTGCTCTGGACAGGCATGAAATACAACGCTTCCTTTTCCTACAATAAATGAAAACAAGTCAAACAAAAACACACATGTTTTTATTCCACATGTGGGAATTTTTAGCTATACGATTCCATTTGAAATGGAGTGTGTATGTATTAAGGCAAATTTCCTGATGGTTTTCCCACATCTCATTATCTGGAACTAGCTTCAAAGACCTCCTCAGGAAAAGAGAAACATCTGTGTGAGGAAAGAAGCCTCAGTTTTCAGAGCATCCCATGTGCTTTTCAATCTGGGTACCCGAAGTACTAGGCAATAAGCCTAGGGCATGGAAAGCCATGGAATAAATACACTCTCCCTTCTTTGGTTATCAAATTTACTTGACGAGAAGAAATTAAAGTATTATTTTTTTCTGTTAAAACAAACTTGAGATCATCATAAATCAGTTAAAATTTGCACAACTTTTAAAGTAACCACAAATGTTAAGAAACAATGTATTTCAAGAGTTTCAGCTTTAAGTTTACAGCCCCATAAGCCACAAACAAGCAACATTGTAAAGAAAATTGGAGGTAAGGTCCTGAATTCACTGGGGGAAAAAGTAACTATGTTCACACTGGCTTATAGGAAGCCAGGCTTTCGCCTAAATTCATAACAGTTTCCTCAAAAATATTACCTTCTAAACTCCTCACCTTCATCTTCCAGTAGGACCACAGTTCCCCAGTGCTACCCGTTCCTCACAATGCCTAGTTTGGTACCTTTTGTCCTCAACTAACTCAAAGAATAGGAATCTTATTCTAAGTACCTGGGACAGGTTCTGGCCCAAGCATTTTCCAAGTTTGCTGGCTTAACATATGAAGCTGGTAAGCCACATATGGAAAGGAAAAACGGATCTATCATTTATTGAATCATTCAACAAATATTTATCGTTCCTAGTGCTGTGCTAAGCATTGGGGATATAACAGTGAGCCTTATAAAAATGGAGCCTATGACATTTACAGTCTAATCAGGAAAGAGACATTAATCAAAGAATCCCATAAACAAACTACAATTTATACAGTGAGAAATACTATATAGGGGAAAAGGACAAGCAGCCATGAAAGGTTATCTAGTGATTCAACTGTTCATCCTTTCACAGCTTGGCCAGCAGATGTTCATCTACTGGTAGACTCACTACTTGGAGGGACTGCTAATTTACTCCAGGAAATTATCAGGCCCCCTTCAGTTTGCTCTTACCGTACTGCTCCCAAACATTCCCCTATATACATCGATTTCAGACAAACATTTTTCACATAGTTCCTCTTACAGCACAAAACCCTCATGTCATACTCTTCTGCTCAGAATGTAAATAGCATAGGGGAGTTTTAATACCATGTCAACTTATTGTTTTGCACTTACTTTGCTCATTGATGGAAGGTTGATTTTGCTTTAATTCATCTTGTATAATTATGTCTTTATTAAGCTCCATGGCAGCTTTGAATGGAAGAGAGAGACTAGTCATTGTGTGATTCTTCAAGCTAAGATTTCTAGTGGAAAGCAGTCAACATTTCTTTCCTTCTCTACTTTCTTGCAGAAAGATAGAAAGAGTCATCATATTTCAGTATTCATATACATATGTTTACCTTCTATCTGCTTCCAGTCTCTCTGATACCATATTAAAGTGGATCTGGATGATGTTTCAAATGCATTTCATCTCAGGTATGTATTTTATGGTCGCTGCCAATAAACTGCCTGGTGTGGCCCCATGTTATATTATCAAGGCCAAAGCCACTATTTTTATTTAAAAAATCCATATTTATAGGAATTGGAGTATAATTTAGGGTGTTGGGAGAGAACATTAATGTCTAAAAACTGTTAGGTGACCAGGATAGCAGAACACAAGTGTTTAAAAATAATTCTCTTGGTAGGTCTCTTTGTCTTTGAGTTGTCTTTTTCTTGACCATAACTTCAGTGTTTAACCCAGATCCTCTTCAGAACTTTTTTTCAGGTAAATTTGGCAAGAGATATCAAAAATCAGCCTTTGGCCAACTAGTTTTGTTTGGGGACACAATTCAAAGGAAAGATATGGCAGCGTATTGTGATCATGGCTTTATCCTCTAAGTTTTTACCAACTTCTCACACTTTGAAATAACCTTTAACTAGGAGAAGCACATATGTCGCTAAGTCAGAATTATCGTGTCATGGTAATACCAGGGAATACAAATAGCACTGGAAATGTCAGCATTTGAACAGATTTTCTACTATGAGGGCAGGAAGATAAAAGTTAACTTAGTAATAGGGGAGCACAATATAGGAAACTTGTATTACCTAAATGTTCAGTATGCAAGTCCCCTGAATTTAAGAGATGAAATTCCATACATGCGAGCAAAAGTTGTTACAACACGAAAATGGTCACTAATGATCACTTATAAAATTAATCCCCACCATCCCCACCCACTTACTGCTAGTATCTCTTCTCATATCAACCACCCTATCAACATCTCTATCATCAGTTAGTTGCTGATAACAGAAAGTAATATGGTGCCAATGTGAGTTTAAGTTGTAAAGCTTGTGAAGATGCAGATTTCTGTGAAGTCAGTACAAGTGATGCTAAGAAACACTAGGATCATAAGCAAGGCCACATAATTACCATGATCTAACAGAATTAACCTGTGAACAAGAAAAAAATTGAAATGCATGTTGGTGTGATGATGGTTTCTTCAAAAGATGACTTGACGGGCTTCTGATTTTGGATCAAGATAGAATTCCCCATGTCTCTCTACTTGTCCCACTAAGTACGGCCAAACCCCCTGGACAGTACATAGAAAAACTACATAGAAAGAGCTTAAAAGGGGTCTAAAGAAGACAGACTTATTAGGATCCCAGGACCTGAGTAAGGACCTAGTTGTGAGTTCCCTGGGGTTTCTTTTTGCCTTATATACCCCAGACTTGGTGTTGGAGAAATCTGCAAATTAAAAACACCAGTGGAAGCAGG